TGCTTCGATGATCGAGAGGTATAGCTTGTAAAGGTTCCGTCCAGGAGCTTCAAGAGATTATGTCGGCCCGAGGTATATGCTCGCTTCCAATGAAAGAAGTAGTCTCGTAAATTTTTGAACCGGCGAACCTGAGTTACCGACATTGTTTTGAGTCTCGGCAAAGAGACAAGCCATCGGGCGTCAGTCGAGAGCACCGCATGCCTTCTAGTCGGGCGCCTATTGCGACTATGCCACATAAATCTCGTAAGTTTCGGCGTCCACCTTTAGTGCGAGGTCACTAGATTGTGAAGAGCGGAAGCTGTTGAGCTCAAGCATTCTTCTAGAATGGGATTGATTGCGTCTTACAACTAAGGCGAAAGCACAACTTGCACTGGAAGGGGCGAACCGCGAAGGATTGTTTGTCGAGCCTATGTCGCTGACTTTGTGCGGCAGTTTGTTGTGTTTGTGCGTAGATGCTGTATTGTGATAGCTTCAACCACGAACAATGCCACAATAGTTTGACGGTGAGAGAGCACCGGTGAAGGCCAAACATATTGACGTGTGCATCAGATTTGATAGTGATTTTACGAAGCGTGAAATAATGCACTCGGGTGTTTAGAGACTGTGCGTATGCCAGCGGGCATACGGAGCTAGTGGCTGCACCAAGATTATCATAAAGGCGCTGGTATCGATCAAGGATCAAGTGGTACAATAAGGTCAGTATCGACGGGGACAAGTGTTGAAAGGCAAGTTCTGCATGGCGAATCAATACAATGGGAATGGAAGATTGCCTACGGCTTCGTACGATCATGCCAAACACTCGGCAAGTATTTTTGTTTGTTTTGTCGCACGTGTTGGAAGCTGCATCCAGATATGATGCTACGATGGAGCTACAGTTGACGTAGAACGATTTCTATTGCAGCCCTAGCGCGACTTCCCAAGTAGTCAAAGCTCTCTGCTGTGCAAAGGCACACTCTATGTTACTCATATGTTTATCCTCTTGACTATTCACTATACCCTCGCGGCTTCATGAGGCTCATCTGCTTTTGGCTATGTTTGCGGAAAGATCGGAAGCTCCATTTTGTCAAGGTGCCCATCTAGAGATTGAGATGCACGACGTGCAAACGCCGTCGTCCACCGCATGTCCTGACTTGAGTGCTGGCAATGAGCGCGCGCTCAAGCATAGTGAGCTTGCAGCTCACAAATGTGCCAAGCTTATCCTGAGTGTGGACGCACGATTAAGGTGATACAAACATGATGCGAGTGATAGTAAGTGGACTCCGTTGGTGAAACAGCGTTGCAGACGGTTTGTTTAGTAGCAGCACTAGAGGGAGTGCAATCGACCAAGTCTCTTGGAGACTCTGAAAATTGCCTCTGCCGATTCTGAAACTAGATCACTCTACTCCTGTACATTTTAGTGCCAAGGGCCTGCTCTGCGACGACTCGTGGGGGTCTTCCTATCGTTCCTCACCTGTTTCCAGCTCTGTGTTTGCGGCATCGTAGAGGATGACATAGTCTGACCTCTTCGGCCACAACCTCGAAAAAAGGCACGATCTCTGTGTTATCGTATCCTGCAGGCGATATTGCATCCAGCGCGATGTAGAGAATGAGCCGATGCTGAATATCGGCCCAAGCGGGTTGCTTCGCCATTTCCAAAGCTACCACAGTTTGCTGCAGTTTGCGTGTGCGTATTTTGCGGACTTGTGTCATTCATGTCGGGCGCTCTGGTACTCCCAGCCAGCGTCTGGGTCGACGCAGCCATCCATATTAGTCCAACGGTCGTGTCTCGATTACCACAACGATTGGTGTCAAGATGGCTGCCAGGATGACGCTTTTCTTCGTTCTTTGACATTCACGCTAAACCGACCGTCTCCACGTCAGTGCAATGATTTGCTTCGTGAGACACGAACGCTTGCACTGCGATTACAAAGCACAGAAACCAGGCAATGCACCACCTCTGAAGGATTGCCGCGCGACTTGTACGTACACTCTCGAATCGGAAATGCACAACTGCTTGCAAACTGATGCAACAAGAACGACGCACAAATCACGTATTCGATATCAAGCGCTACATTAACTACATTGACTCTCGCCGAAGTGCCATCGTCCGTGACGAATGGCTAATTCCCTCTCACTATCGAAATCATGGTCGCAGCGCGATGATCGCCACATTGATGAACGGCGCCAAAAAGTACACGAGCACCATGAACAGGATGCAGCAAAAGCAGCACATGAGTCGGTTGCAGATCGACGGTCCCAGCAAGTCATTTAGCACCTTGAACGGGTTGAGCGAAAACGAAAGACGTCCAGCTGGAGGAGGCAAGTACGGCGAGTTGTTCGGTGCCGACCGGCCCTGACCCACAGGAGTCTGCGTTGCGTTTTCCATTGGTACCAACTCGAGCGAGACGCATACCTCGCCCATGAAGCTACGTGTGTTGGTCTTGTGGTCAAGGCTTTCCAGTTTCAACCACTTTGAATCAGGCGGGTCGTCGTCGTCCCAGAGACCAGTGGCCTCTCGAATCTTTTTCACAGCAGCATCATCGTTCGAGGCGGCCTTCTTTTTCTTCTTTTTCGTCTCTTCATCATCTTCGTAGACTTGGACGTTCGACTTGAGTTTGTAAGCTTGACGAAACGATGGGCCAAGGTCAAGCGTGTGATCACCAATCGCATCGTTAGCGGACATTACATCCTTGTCCCAGCCCTGGATGTGGAAGTACGGTATCTTGGTGTTTGTCTGCTTGTGGCCAAGAGTGATTGGGAATTTCATGCGCCAGTTGAATGACCCTTTACCCTTTTTTGCACGCCAATGAATATCCGTTTCCTGGTAGTCCGATCCCTCCATCCAGCAGCGGAAAAACAGATCATTCATGTCTTCCAGAGTGTCAAACGAAGGCACATTACGCGCCTTCCACACGACCACACGAAGCTCCATATCAACTGGTGGAGGCAGTGAAATATCGATAGGAGGGTAATCATGAGCTTGGGCGGGACTCAAAATGTCGACCCACAGCTTGATCGTGCCCATCGGAGCTTGGGACGTCGGGATATTAAGCGTCCGGGTCTCGAGCGGCTTCAAGCGAAAGCGCTTGGGTGTTTCGTACATCTTTCCCATCGCCTGCCATCTCTTGTCAAACAAGCGGTCTTCGAGATCAATCGTGGTCTTGCCGATCAAATCGTCACCACCGATCAGATCATAGTCCATTGCCTCAATCGTCAGGATGCTAGCACCCGGGAGCTTTGTGTTGATCACAAACATCTTGTAGAAATCAGGTTCAGTTGTATCTTCAATATAGTTCTTGCGATCGCTGACCTTTTGGTCCCCGACTGTCAAGCGCAGGTAAGGGTCGGATTTGCCTGGGCGGCCATTTAGCCCGATATCCATTGGCGCAAAGCCGACTCCATCCAGAACGTAGACACGGACTTCGTACGGTAGCGACTGGAGCAGCGTTTCGATTGGAAACAGCGGCTTTTCGTCCTCGCGCTCGATAATACGAATCAGGCCTTTGAAATATCCAGCCATCTTGTAAATGCCAGTGTCATCTCCAACTCCTCGCGACTTTTTTGCAAACGGGTTGATTGCTGACAGCAGAGACGACCTTTTCTTCTTTTGGCCAATATGCAGGCCATATTTCTCGAAAGGTGTCGTTCTCAACTCCGACTCGAGGTCGCCTTCCAGCAATTCACGGTGTCTGAGGTATTTCTTTGACTTCATATCGTCGTCTTCGTCCACCGTGGTCGACCGACGCGATGACACCTCGTCAAAGTTTCCATTCGGATCAAATTCAACGCCCATACTCTTTAGCGCACCAAACACACCAGCTCCGGTATCAACGGATTCCAACGGGGTGAAGTCGTTATCCCGAGCTGCCTTTCCAAGTAAAGGTGCGTCGTCTCCCCATTCGTCTGCAGATTCCAGCTCGATCTCAGCAAGCGTGTCGTTTTGAGGCGGACGGTAGTGCTTTGACCACGGAATCTTTGAGCTCATTTCTATGGAAGCGGAGCCGACAATAGGCGTCTGAAACCCTCCAAGACGCGTGTCCTTCACAATGATGTTCAATCGGGGCGCAAAATGCGCATTTTCGGGTAGCTCCACCTCCTTCACAATGCGCTGCAGAAAGTTTGGGTTACTTCCAGACGGTCGCTTTGACTTCTCAGTTATCATTTCCTGAGCCGCGTGTTCCTTGCCACCAAGGACAAACTCGATAAATGGTAGCTGAATGGGCAAGAAATGGTACGGCTCCATGTTGCGAAGACCCAAAACCGTGATCTCAAGAAAAGCTTTGCGGTTTCTTGGCAAGATCGGAAGTGCTCGAGGAACCTTCTCATCTGGAAACTGCTTACGAATAAGCTCTAAAGATGCTAAGATCTCACCTTCGCAATCACCAGGCTCCTGAAACATGATCGAATGCCACTTCGGATCCGGCAGAGCCGCCGAATGGCCGCTTGACAGCTCTTCTGACGTCCGGATATGTGCCTCCGACAGGTTGAGCGCAGCCAGACCAACGAAATCATTGGTGTCAAAGTCGTCGTAATCCATGACACGCAACATCACCTGGGGTGCATACTTCAGTTCCGGCAGGTTCACATCGAAGTAAATGGTTTCATACCACAGCGGATCTCTAGTCTTTCGCTTTTTAGACGTTATTTTCTCTTTTTCACCCATGCATCGGATAACAAGATATGGATCCAAAAGTCCGTTTGAATCAGCAGGTGGGAGTCGGCGACCCTGGTAAATATGAGCGCGGAGCTGGTAAGGAATACGCTTGTTCACTGCATCCAGGTCCGCACGATCCCATGATGTCTGCATCGCCATTTCTTCTGTTCCAAAGCCCATGCGAACCAAAACGTTGCCCGGAAACGTTTCATTTTCGAGTGCGTCGATCGCCTGGTCTTCTTTCATCGAGATCCACTCTACTTGGCTATCGAATCCGCCATGGTCCTCTAGAAGCTCTTTTGCTGTATAACGGCGAAAGCACACAGCCCTTCGAGTGTCGCCTTCTCCTTTGCACAAGTACAAGAAAATGTCTGGCACTTGAGAAATGTCTTCAGGAAGCAGCATCTTTTCGCTCTCCTCCATGTTGTTCCATTCAACCACGCCGTTCATATTACGACTTCGAGAAGAGGCGACTTCGTTTAGGCCACATGACATCACCAACTGCATCTTGGACTTCTGGCCGGGGCGCTTCGAGCTCAAGAAAGATGGGATTTCGCTGCCCCACACAAAGTGAGCGCGGATGCGATAGATGCGCTCTCGAGGGTACAAGTCCCGCGGAATACGCTTCGTATTGCGCTTCTGATTGGTCTCATCAAACTCGTTACCGTCATTCGTCAGGATACGGAGACTAATGAGCAGGCGACCGCGGTACGTGCTGGCAATATCGGGATACGTATTCATCTGCTTCTTCATGGAGTCACCAATGCCAACCGACTTTAGACGCAGGGGCGCTCCGTAAATATTGGCCCAAAATGGTGCGATTCTACCACCCATTGCCTTCACGAGTTTCACACTCTGGTAGACGTATCCAACCAGTTCGTCAGATCCCACTTGATCCCAGTCAAAGACACCAAGTTGGATGGAATCAGCCATAGAGGGCTCGCGAATAACCAGCATCAGCTCCTCGTTGAAGCGTGGACAAAGCTCGTCGCGCCGACCTTTTTTGGTGCGCACGCGAGTCCGAATTGCGTCCCCACCAGCGATCGATCCTTTTACGTAAGCATCTAGACCGCCTCTGCCGACAACAGCAACATCCATGGGCGGCAAGTGCTCAGCCACGTGGATAGTTGCTCCTAAAAAGTGGACCTGCTGAGTAACGCTTGGAGGCATGATGACGTTGTTCATGTCTGTAGCTGCGCCTTCACCAAACGGCGAAGGGGGCGGAATCAGCTTGTCCCCTGGTCCGATGATCGAAATGGACGCTCGCAGGTATCCCTGTATGCCCTGGTTAGTTGTATTTGAAATGTCCGTAAGGCCTATCCAGACGTTCGCCAGTTGATGGTTCGTCTGTGAATAGATGTAGGACACGTCAAACTGCGCTCCGCCAATCAGCTCTGCGCGTTGGAGCGTATTAGCATCCATGACGCTCAGCCGGACGTACCCCATCTCGACTTCCGACTTGTCCATATTTCGGAACGAAAAAATGAGCAGATCGTCCCAGAAACAGCTCAGGACTTGCTTCTTCACTGCAGTTTGTTGCTTCTCCCCAAAGACTTCGGCATACACAACAGGATCGGACGTGCCAGTCGAATCTTTTGGCACCAGGTCGCGTGCTTCAATGACATGCACTTGCACGTTGTAGTCGCCAGACTTGATTTCAAAGCTGCTGAGCTCACTCATCAACGCCGCCTGCTTCTCTGCCTTCTCTTCCCTCTCCTTCTTCATCTCTTCTTCCGACTTCTTGTTCGCCGCGCTGTCATCGATCTCCACGCCATCGTCATCGGCCGAGTCATAGTCCTTGTCAGGGGCCCCGAACGACGGCAAAAACGTCGACTTCTTCTTCTTCGCTGCGACGTCACGCGCGTCTGCAGCGTAGGTCCACAACAGCGTAAGCAAGAGGACGCCGCGCTGCAACTTGTCCTTTTTGCCCCGTTTGCCGCCCAGTTCCACGGTCACATGCTTCTCGACGTGCGGCGTCAGACCCTTCAGCGGCACTTCGGCTTTGCCCATAAAGTCATTAATCGTAATGTCGTAGTCCTCCACGAGAATCGACAGCGTTTTCGTCAAACTCGGGGCGAAGAACCCAAACTTTTCGTTCCACTGCGGCCGCAGCGTCCGCTCTTTCTTGGTCGACTCGTGCTTCTGGCCGTCGAACGTGAGAAACACGACCGGGTCACTCGTCGTGCCGTTGTCGTCCATCCCGAGGAGGTCTTTGCCCGCCTTGAGCGTCACGTAGAGCAAGTTGGGTGGCTCGTGGCTCGCCACGACCAGCAGCTTCGTCTCGAGCCCCGGGTCAATGTTGACGCCCGTGCCGCGACGAGACGCCATTGCGTCGCCGGCCGCCAGCCGCTCGAGCACGACGTGCAGCTCTCCGCTCGAGTCGGTCTTCATCTTGACGTGCTTTGTCAGCTGGAACCAGTTGTCCAGCGGTCCCTCGAGCCCCAAGAGCAGCGACACGGGAATGTCCACGACGCCGAGCACGTCGTCGCTGTAGAACGCGCCGTCCGCGTCGCGGAGCAGAAGCCGCAGCGTCGTCGCCACGCGCAGGTCGAGTTTGTCCCCCACGACGAACGTCTCGTGCCACTGCGGCGTCAGCGTCTTCTTCGCCACTTTCGTCTTGCAGCTGCCGCCGGCCGCGATCTCGGCGTCCTTCGAGTCCAGCAGTGTCATCGTCACGTACGCGTCGCTCTTGCCGCTGCTGCCGGCCGCGAGGATGCCGCGGGCCTCGACGATATTGACGCGTACGCCGCCTAGAGACGCCATGGGTCACAAGAACTGCTGGCGGCGCAGAGCGTGGAGACACGACAGAGGGAGGCGGGGGAGAGAGACGAGATACACGCGTGCGCAACAGTGCAAGCAGTGGGCACGGGGGACCGGTAGGGACAGAGGGAGCACGTCGTGTACGTCGAGTCGGGCGGGACGAACAGCCGATGGCACAATGTGCGTTCGTCGGTCGGTCTGTTTGTTTGTTTGTTTGTTTGTTTGTTTGTTTGGGCTGTCAATTTTTATGAAATATCGATAAACACGACGTGGATCGAGTCGGGAGCAGTAGGAAAGTGGATGCTAAGAAAAAAACGAATGACCTTCGACGGCCAATAAGATAACGTGGGAGTGCAAATCGACCACTGGCTTCTTTGTGCACAGCGGGAACGCCGCGGAATAGCACGTGCATGAGATATGTCGTGATGGTTTGGCTGTCTTGGCCAACTTTCAATCGTTTGTCGTTGATCGTGCAGTCTTATTGGGGTTGTTTCGCTCTTTTCTTGACGTGATGCGCTCGTGAAGTCCTTGAGCTGATAATCATTGGCTGCAGTTCGGAATCTTTTCCCCAGCAATCGTCGAGCGCACCCTATCGAGACTTTATCAGAGAGCGTTTGCTTTTGCTTCTTCTCTCACACATGTTGGTCAATCCTAGAGGCGAGACATAGAAGAAAAGTGATTCTTTGTGCACACAAAAGCTCGTTCTGGGACCAAAAGAGATCACACATTTGCAGCAGCTGCGAACTTACGACTGGCGAGTGGTGTGACGTCAAAAGACGTGCGCATACCGTTAAGTGCGCACGCAGCTTCCCTCGATAATGAATAAGAAAGTGACAGGATACAGTATGCAATGCAGATACTCGATGCGTCCATACTGTAAAGTAAAAAACGACGCGAAAAGCGCACCATAACAATAGTTTGCGACACACCTTATTTGTCGTGTAGATCCAGGACTGACTAGCTCAAACCTTTTCCGCCTTGAAGTGACGCAGAGTGCCTATTGTTTCAGGTGGCTGGCAGGTCGGCGTCGGTCTGGTGACTGACGAAGCACTTGTTTCGTTGCCAATGTACTGCACCAGCACGCAATCCGTCAAAGCTGCTTGCAGATATATAGGCTGTTTGCATTCGCCGGTGCTGGCGATTCGGTCAAGCTCTGCTCTACGCCGAAGAGAACGCCGACGACGATCGGCGCATCGAGTCAAGCTCGTAGTATAGAAATTGACAGTCATCTACGTAGCAGGAACGTACGCGGAGGTGCATGCGAAGTCGATTCACATCGACGCGTCGTTGATTGCCTCGATCGGGATCAGCGACCGAAGCTGCTTCCATCGCACGCTATCTCCGACGTGAAGACGGACGATTGTGTACGAGCAAGCTACAAAAGCTTGCTCTTACACAATCGGCCGTATCTCGCGTGCAGCAGCAATACATTCGTAAAGCTACCGTTGCCTAGGAAACCGATAAACACTGCAGTGGTCATCCGATGTGTCTACGAACCTGAGGGCCGTGGAAGTCGGACCTCATCGTCAACCTTTCCTCCATAGCACAGCCATGAGATAGCATATTGTAAAGTAGCGACTGCACTAGCGTCAAGAGTTGTAAGTCGCATCCACAAAAGTAGCCAACATACAGAAGCGGTCTCCTAGCCATACAGCCAGGAATTGTTGCGTTGTAAATACAAACGTTACTGAACACATCATATCAGGAAGCATAGATTCAGGAGTGAGGAAGCGCATAAGCTTTATCAAACCACCAAGTTTCCTAGGTATCGATGTCGGCACCGCCACGCTCGACCTTCTCTTGCTGGGTGTATCGGCTGATAGTCTTCTCTGTGGTCCGACGTGCCTAGAAGGCTGAGAAGCGGTGGAAGCAGTCACCTGCAAGATATTTCGCAACAAGCTTGTTGCCGCGGCTGCAATTAATACACGACACGTTTCTGGCAGCCATGTCACGATGCAGTGCTATAAACTTGCTTCACGTCAATCTGAGTGTATTTGCTTCATCGGAACACATGCAGCTCACGTTAGGTGTGAGCAATGAGGTAACTCCACCGAGCCGCAGAATGGATAATCTGTGAGTGCGACTGCAAGACATAAGAAAGTGCTCTTCGCAATACCGTAATTTCTTTGCGGGGTCAGTGAGTGAAAAGTGAGGTATATTTAGGTACGCTTACGACCTACTATATCCGTCACCCGGCAACAAGGTTACCGGGGTGACTGCTACTTCATATACTAGGTAGGACTAGGTCTCGAACATCAGAACGCCTGCGCGCAGACTCCTGTCGCGAGATGATCAGGTTCCTCGGTGTCAGTACGGGGCCCTGTATGACGTATTTTTCGGCCTGAGAGGTCTCCAACCAATGATTGACATCAGAATCAAGGAAGGTCGTGGCCTCCTGTGTAACGGGGCACACCCTTGCGTAACTTAACGCAAGGGATTTGGGTGCCCCGACGGACGTACACGTGGCGAGCGAGGAAGCGTAGGTAGGGTAAAAGTAGAACTGTTATATTAATATAATTAAGTCTTTAAACTACTGTCTCTTCGTTTGACTTAATTCAATTATACTAATATAACTGCATGTATGGTGACGTCTCGTCACCACTCATTGCGCGCGTCTTGCGGCGATTGGTGGGTTGATATCATCACGATATCAACCAATGAACAGACCCTTTGGTCGACCCTTCAATATCACCACTTTGGTGATATTGTTTAAAGAATATCCATCTTATATTCTTTATTGTCACTTTCCTTAAGTGACAATATCATGTAACGGGCTGCCCCGTTACATCACCCCCCTTAACTGATAGTCACCGTGTGACTATCGAAATATGGAGGCCACCCGTTGGCCACTATTGGGACAGGGAGCACTTGTTTGGTCCGTTCCACTCACTTTCCGCTTGACCTCGCATAGTTAACATGTCTATGCGAGGTGACTCAAGACCCACACAGCCTGGTGCTGTGCAAGCCTCTGCGGCAGACGCTTCGTCGTCTGCCGCCCCTTCTTCGCCTGCAGCAACAGGTGCTGCAGGTGCACGCGGTATCACGCCGCGTGCGCACGATGACCCCGATGTGGAGGTCATCTACTCTGGCGAGTCAGACGTGTCTGACTCGGGCAATGCTCCAGAGGCGTCTCGCTCACCGGCGACGCCTCAGTATTCGCCAAGGCCACTGCCGAACGAACGGACTCGTGATTCGCATCACAGTCTGTTCGGCAGTGATGACGATGATCAGGGTGGTGAGTTCTATTCTTCACCACCGCCGGCTCGTGCGTCTTCGCACGAGCGTGATGACGATGGCGCGAGCCGTCGTCAATCTGGGAGCCGTGGTACCGACAAGGGTACCACTGTGAAGCGTGATGAGTTGAAGCCGTGGCGTTTGCCCGAACAACTCATCAATAGCCTGTCTCACGAGACAGGCCAACACCATCGAATACCCTTATTCGATGCGACTGAGCTTCACGGCTTGAGTCCCAGCGCGAAGAACTTTCGCGCTGAAGAAGATTTTTATCTCGATGTCTTTCTTAGACATCGATGGTACAACAGCAACCAAAAGCGTGACAAAACATCGCTTTTGGCTGCGTGGAACGCGTTCGTCCAAAACGTAAAGAATTTTGGACGAGAAGGGTGGCTCAAGAAACTTGAGGCAACACGCCTCAGGTTCGAACGGCGAACGCCAACCGGTGCTAGGTACCGGTTGCATTGTTTATCGAGTGAGGCAGGCATTCCTTGCCTCACATGGGGAGACACTTGTGCGAGTTGTGTTGACAACTCGCAGCGTGCACATAGGGATGTGTACTCCCTAAATTCGCCCTGGGAAAGGGCACATCTCTCGGAGGAGATGCGTGACGCGATTGCAAACTTGCAATCCGTCTACAAGCGCCTAGGGCGCGTGTTTACCGATGGGCCACAGGACTCATCGGATGGGTCTCGTCATACTGGTGGACGAGACCTTCAACATCCATTAACAGCTGAGAGCGGGGCTCCCAGCTGTTCCAAGAGGGTGGATACCCCCGCCACTGGACGAGGTAGCTCGTCCTTGATCCTGAATCGTCACGGTGATTCAAGATACGCTCCACTAGAAAGCGTTGATCACCGTGAGCATCCACCAAAGGATGTGGTGGAGGAGGAAAGACCTCCTCCAGAACCCCAGGCCCACCATCTCGACCCTTACGAGATGGATCGCGCAATCGATGAATTGCGCGATGACTTGAAGCACGAGCGCGACCGACGCTACGCTTTGACCGACACCGTGCGGAAGAACCGCAAGGGTCACGAGGCTGATCGGGCGAGGGATCGCGCCGATTATGCCACGGCGCAGCTTCAGGTCGAGCGGGATGTCCGCTCCCTTTTCGGCGAGCTGGCGACAGCTCGCGGAGAGATAACTCGGTTGAATACCGAGGTATCATATCTGCGCGACCAGACGGATCGTCTGGAGCGCGAACGCAAGAACTTGATGGATGTTCTTGAACGTGGGGGCTATCTTCATCGGAAGAAGAAGGCTCGTACTGACAGTACGACCTAAGCCTCCCCACGTAATACGTAGGATGCGTGCGCATCCTACGTGGCAATTCGAGTGTGTATGCATTGCCCTTGCGATGCAACACTCGAAATGGCCCAATGTATTTCGGCAGTAGTTTACTACTGCCGACACTAGTGACTGCATGTCCAGGTAGGTTTACCGTTGACAGTAGTACTAGGTCATTAACCTTAAATGAAAGAACATTTGCTCTTCCATTCTTGTCTGCGTTCCGTTTCTGACGGTCCACCGCATTTGCGATGGAGTCCTGAACGAAACGGACTACCGCTTCTCGAGTCAGCAGGAAGTTCTCTGCTGACTCTTTGTTTTGTCTAGCAGTGCGCTTCGTGCGCACTGCTAAGAGATTGCTCTCTTCTTCAGCGAGGTTGTCTTCTTCCTCGCTGGCATAATCGTTGACGATGCTGAATATACCAGCATCGTCATCATCATCCGAATCAATAATAGCGTCTTCGCTATTATTGAGATGA